CCGTACTAGTAGATATATAGTCTCTCTCTCTCTCTCTCTCTCTCTCTCTCTCTGTGGCTGTGGCTGTTAATATGAAAAAACGACTTCAAAGAAAGGCTTATAACTCCCGCCAGTGGACAGCAGCCCAGCAGCCAGTGTTTTCAATTCAGTGTTTTGCCACCTCATCTTCTTCACATCCGTCTTGTGTCACTTTGCCACGGGGTACCTTATCACCGGTGGATATCGCAGAGAAACCCCACTTCAAGCTGCTGTGGGTATTGCCCCACCATGCCCCACCTTTTTCGGACGCCTCAACCGTTCTGTTGTCAAGCTGGGAATGGCCGGCTGGGCTGGACTGTGAGCTGCCCTGCGTTCTTTGTTTGGCTAGGAGGGCAAAGGAATCTTTGAATTGTTCAGGAAAATGCTGGGTACGATATTAACTTGGTGTCTTCAGCCCCAAGGCGCAAACTGGAAGTGCCTAAGCGAGACTTATTTCATTCAGCCTTCAGGAACGCGGGAGCTCATGAGATTGTGGCGTCCGATCTGGGCTGCGCCGCCTTCAGATTTTGAGATCTAGTCTGGCCTGGTCTGGTTCAACGGCCACGTCCTTACGGGAGCTTCCTAGCGTTGGTTTGAGTTTCGAGTTTCGAGATGATGTGATGGATGAAATTAGCCAGCCTTGCCTTACCTAAGCTCATCGCAACCTGCTGGTATTCCTCAAGCTTGAGACCTTCATCTCCTTTGACCTGACAGCCATTAGAAGCTGGAGGACAAAATTGCGGGGCAGCCAGCTTCTCCTTTTACCCAACGACCTCAGAGCAACCCAAACATCTAACGCTAGCCTGCTGTACAATAGCCCGGATGATGCCATGTCATGCCAGTGTGAGGTGGCAACGGGTAGGGCTTGTTAGGACATGAGCTTACCTAAGGGTGAAGAGTACATTATACAGAGGGGAGAGGGGGAAATGGGTCGTTTAAGGAGATGGGCGTTGACGAAACAAAAAAAAAAAATAATAAAGGCCTAGGTCCCCAACACAACGGCTAGGCCCAGGCTGGCTTCTGCATCAAACGCCACTCCCTACGTCTTCACGCCTCCTACGTACAACGCTTGGCTGTCCGTCCATTTGCTCAGTCAGGATGGCTGAATGGCGTCTGCACTGCACTCTCCGAGAGGTTGCCATCAGCCAAGTAAGGTTACCATGCATTAGTAGCATGCCAGACCCATCTGCCCTCTGCATGCTTGCGCCGCAGACATAACCCCGGGCCGGGGCCACCCAATCAATGATAACCAACCAACCGAGCAGGTGAACAACAACTCTGCCTGCCCGGTGTTGGAGTCGACAATGCTGTGTTATTATTGATGATATGTACTGCGGCCTTACCGGTCGTCGTCGGGTTTGGAATGGGCCGGCTCGTGTCGCCACGTTTGGGTTTGGTTGGGGACATGGAAGGGAGGGGAAAGGCCATATGCGCTTAGGTAGACTGAGTGTACGGTTATGCTTGGATGAGTACCTAATGGACGGATGTGTGCAAAGAACCTGCTAGCATGGTTGGCGAGCTAGGAGAGTTGAGACCGGAAATGAGGGGGTTGTTTGTTTAACAGGACAAAGGACGGGAAAGGATGGATGGATGGATGGATGTTGTGTACGCAAGGTAAAGAGAGGTAGGGTCGGGTGCTGTGCCTCCTCCCGTTGCTAAGGGCGGCATGTTGAGTTAGGAGGGATGGATGGAAGGGGATGATGACAGGAGGTCGAGGACTCGGGCTTATTTAAGTTGCTTATCTTCCTCGACCGCGGGGACCATTATTGAAAAGATTTTAGATTCCTATCTGTCTGTCACGGACGACGCGTTTTTTGCCAAACCTACTCCCAGCTTACATTCCAGTTCAGTCTGCATTTCGTTGTGATTCCAGCCCAATCTTTTTTACCCTGGGCAACCTGCTCACTTGCTTGTCAGGTCGAATCGTCGGGCTTCACCTACGGTTCCTGGCCGCAGTTCCCACGTTCCCACTTTCCACTTCCTTGTCGCTGTCGTGTCCATCCACGGTTGATTAACTTCGGGCCTTCTGTGACTCGCTCGCTCAGCCTGCCAGCTGGTCCCGGTCCCCATCTCCCCATCCATCCCCATCCATCCACATCCACATCACCGGCTCCATCCCCGCCGATTTCTTTAGTTGATCGTGCAGATCGTTGCATCATCCGGGCAGCTGGAGACGAGCCCTGTCTTGACCTTGCTGCCTCTCCTTTGGTTTATTCTCCTCCATATAATCTACCCTCCCCCCGCAAAGACTGGCCTCGGTTTTTTGTTCCAGATATTATTCTTATCGGACTCGCGATAGCGAAGCGAGACGGAGCTACCCCGCCTGAGCTCCAGCTTCACTTGACGACGGCATACAAGCATCCCTTGTCTGAATGAGTGAGACGATAGTGTTGACGTCGAATCACTTTTCCTCCTGATCTCCTTCTTGAACTCTGATCCTTTTCTTTCTCATTTAATCCTGAAGACATCCCGTTAGCAAACATGACGACTGCCACCGCCATCCCACACAGAGAGCGGCGGCCCTCGGTGGGCGCTCCTATCGTCGACATTCAGGGCAATGTTGGTCCTGCCGGCATCTCGCGGCCCAAGCACAGGCGGACGCACACCGGCCTTGGGGCTGGTGAGATCAAGATTGTTGAGGGTATGAGTTTACAAAAGCTTCTGTGATAAACTCTCAGCTGCTTTCTCCCCTCTTACCCCCTCCCCAACCCCAACTCTGCCTTCCCCCCCCCCCCTCTCCTCCCCTCCCCTTTCCCCCTCATGCGGGGTGTCTCCAATTCTTCTCGAGCTAGCTAGCAGCTAACACACCCCAGCTTCCATCCCCGAACCGCAGCGCGAGACCTGGCGCAAGCACCAAGCAAAGCCCTTCGCCGACAAGGATGGCTTCCAGCGCGAGCTGGTGCGCCACGTTGAGACGACGCTGGCCCGTAGCATGTTCAATTGCGACGAGTCCGCCGCCTACTCTGCCTGCGCCCTCGCCTTCCGCGACCGTCTCGTGTACGATTGGAATCGCACCCAGCAGCGGCAGACCCTGGCCGACGCGAAGCGCGTATATTATCTCAGTCTGGAATTTCTCATGGGACGCGCGCTCGATAATGCTATGCTGAATATTGGGCAGAAAGATATCGCTAAGGGTGGGTTGCTCTTGAGTATCATCGGATCTTGGGGGGAGGGAGCGGATTGGATGAGCGCTGACGCTGTATAGCTGGCCTCGCTGAGCTCGGCTTCCGCATTGAGGACGTCATTGAACAGGAGAACGATGCTGCCCTGGGCAATGGCGGTCTCGGCCGTCTGGCTGCCTGCTTCCTCGACAGCCTTGCCACTCTGAACTATCCCGCCTGGGGCTACGGCCTGCGCTACCGTTACGGTATCTTCAAGCAGGAGATCATCGACGGCTACCAGGTCGAGGTGCCCGACTACTGGCTCGACTTTAATCCATGGGAGTTTCCCCGTCACGACGTGACTGTTGATGTAGGTCTCCCGATCTAGACACTCTTAAGAACCCTGCTGATAGCCTAGATCCAATTCTACGGTCACGTCGTCAAGACGACCGACGAGAACGGTCGCGTCGTTCACCGCTGGGAGGGCGGCGAGACGGTCAAGGCAGTGGCCTACGACGTGCCGATCCCGGGCTATGGCACGTCAACGACCAACAACCTCCGTCTGTGGTCGAGCAAGGCCGCCAGCGGCGAGTTCGACTTCCAGAAGTTCAACAACGGCGACTATGAGAGCTCCGTCGCCGACCAGCAGCGTGCCGAGACCATCTCCGCCGTGCTCTACCCCAACGACAACCTCGACCGCGGCAAGGAGCTGCGCCTCAAGCAGCAGTACTTCTGGGTCGCCGCCTCGCTCTATGATATTGTTCGCCGCTTCAAGAAGTCCAAGCGTCCCTGGAAGGAGTTCCCCGACCAAGTCGCCATCCAGCTTAATGATACTCATCCGACGCTCGCCATCGTCGAGCTGCAGCGCATCCTGGTTGATATCGAGGGCCTGGGCTGGGACGAGGCTTGGGACATCGTCACCCGCACCTTTGGCTACACCAACCACACCGTCCTTCCCGAGGCCCTCGAGAAGTGGTCCGTCCCGCTGGTCCAGCACCTGCTGCCGCGCCACCTGCAAATCATTTATGATATCAACCTGTTCTTCCTGCAGTCCGTGGAACGTCAGTTCCCGAATGACCGTGATCTCCTCCGGCGTGTATCCATCATCGAGGAGACCAACCCCAAGATGATCCGCATGGCGCACCTGGCCATCGTCGGCTCGCACAAGGTCAATGGCGTCGCGGAGCTGCACTCCGATCTTATCAAGACCACCATCTTCAAGGACTTTGTGGACATCTACGGCCCGGATAAGTTCACCAACGTCACCAACGGGATTACGCCCCGCCGCTGGCTGCACCAGGCCAACCCCCGCCTCTCGGAGCTGATTGCAAGCAAGACGGGAGGCTACGGGTTTTTGACCGATCTAACCCAGCTGAACAAGCTCGAACTGCACGTCAACGACGCCGATTTCCGCCGGGAGTGGGCGGAAATCAAGTTCAACAACAAGGTTCGGCTGGCCAAGTACATCAAGGACACGCTTGGGATTGCAGTCAACCCCAACGCGTTGTTCGACGTGCAGGTCAAGCGGATCCACGAGTACAAGCGGCAGCAGATGAATATATTCGGGGCGATTCACCGGTATCTGACGCTCAAGGAGATGACGCCTGAGGAGAGGGCCAAGCAGCAGCCGAGGGTGAGCATCTTCGGTGGGAAGGCCGCTCCGGGCTACTGGATGGCGAAGCAGATCATTCATTTGATTAATGCTGTCGGCGAGGTGGTCAATAATGATAAGGAGATTGGGGATTTGCTCAAGGTGGTGTTTATCCCGGATTATAATGTCAGCAAGGCGGAGATGATTATCCCCGCGTCGGATATTAGTGAGCACATATCGACTGCTGGTACTGAGTATGTTATACCCTCTTTGATAGTTGGGATCGTGGTATGGATGGAACTGACAGACTACAGGGCTTCTGGCACCAGCAACATGAAATTTGTGCTCAACGGCGGGTTGATCATCGGTACCTGCGACGGCGCCAATGTAGACTTCCCCCGTTTCCCCCCCCCCCCAAAAAAAAGCCTTCCCTTCCTTTTTCCCTTCTTCCTCCCCTACCTTTTAATCTTACGGCTAGATCAAGTCATATGCTAACGGTGAACAGATCGAAATCACTCGCGAAATCGGCGATGAAAACATCTTCCTCTTTGGCAACCTCGCTGAAAACGTCGAAGACCTCCGCCACGCGCACACCTACGGCGGCGACTGGACCCTGGATCCATCCCTGGCTCGGGTCTTCGAAGAAATCGAGCGCGGCACGTTCGGCAACCCACAGGACTTTGCGGCCATCATCTCTGCCGTGCGCGACCATGGTGACTACTACCTTGTCTCAGACGACTTCCATTCGTATCTGGAGACACACAAGCTGGTGGATGAGGCGTACCGCGATAAGGAGGGATGGACAACCAAGAGTATCTTGAGTGTGGCGCGGATGGGGTTCTTTAGCAGCGATAGGTGTATTAATGAATATGCGGAGGGTATTTGGAATATTGAGCCGCTGAAGGGGGAGGAGTAAGCCAATGAATTGGGAGTATCTACCTATCTCTCGGGGGGGGTTTTGGGTAGGATAAGAGATTTGGGTAGGAGGCTTGCTGGCTTTGGCTACCGTAATCCTATGATTCGTCTGGAGAGTTATCTGCTCTCTCAATTACTCAATTCCACAAATGGCTCGTTTGGTTCGGCATCCTTTCACCTAGGCAATTCTTTTAGAACACAACTCTTAGTTAAGTATTGTCCATGGTACACTTATATTTTCCGATGACACTGTTTACGATGAGAACGGGGCAGGGTTCACTCCGTGCTCTCGGGCAGGATATGATTGATGCTTGACTGGAGACTGAGAGGTATATGTTCACTCTATTCTGGCTTTAACCTTTGAGCTCGAGCCTTTCTAATTTCAAGCTATTCATCTGCTGGCAAGATTTGCTTCCGTTTTGCTGGATTGAATGTCGTTTTTTTTTTTGTTCGGAGAGAGAGAGGCTAACAGAGAAGAAGGAGGGGTCGCTCAGACAAAACCCCTGCTCCCTACCCGACGGGTATGACGTCATACGCAACGCACAGCCATTTAAAGGTCGGCAAACAAATCAACGAAGCCGAAGTCATATCCGCTGCCGAGTTCCATCCTGGGAACCGGCACTCGGAAATCGGAGATCGGGGACGGTAGACCGATCGGCTTGTCGGAGATAGTGCTTGTACCCAGCTTAATGCTTTATCAGCAGGCCGGTTGTTTGAAATGCTATGGCTTCTGTTGGCTCGTGCTCGGTTTCTGGCCTGGACGAGGCTCTTTGAGCTGAATGGGCCATAAATCTGGTACCTTACATTACGGAGAGGGTTGGCGCAGCAAAGGTGGTGCAGTATTGCGTCATTGTGCATGCTGAGAGGTGCATGGTCTTGATGGGTTCTGAAGACAGGCAGGCTTGGAGAGGACTCAAGAACAGTGAGATACTACGCTGTTTACTTGTTGGCTATGGTGTTTGCCTAATTCGGGGAGGAGGTTGAGACTGTGGATGCTGGGTTAACTTGAATAACAGTTTAGAGAACTCGGGTTACTGTAGAGCATGTCAAGAACGAAGTGGAATACCAGTAGATGGCATCGTTTACTGGAGTCTTTGAGGTTGACAATGCTTTGTTCTTGGAATCTGATTAGGGGTGAAAAAGGTTTTGAGAAGCTTAAACTTGAAGTTCGAGAACAAAGCCGAGCAAAATTGCCGGCCGTGCAGGGGAGAGCGAGGTCTCGGACTGGGATTGAGACTCATTGCGCCGCTGTTTGACAGTCCAAGCGCCTGCTTGGATTGTTTGTTGTTCCTTTGGACGGCTGTTTTACCCCGAGAAGGACACCAAGTGGACTCGAAGGCTTTAAGAGCTGAACTCGAGGTGACGAGATACACCCGACAGACGAAAGAAGCATAGGTCAACTTGAATGTGACTTGATCTTTTGCCAAAAGAGACAAAGTACAAAGAGGGTTACTGCATTCAAGCTGCCAACCGAACGTCGATTAGTTTTCCCTGAGAACAACCGCACTGACTTTAGCCCTGGACAGGAGCATGTGCTCGATATTGAAACGGGGAACGATTCTGGTACCTTTTTTTTTTTGATACTGTCTTCAGAAGCTTTAGAACTGTGAGCTAACCATATCATGCTCTGCTCTTTTTCCTGTGTAAGCTCTTTTTGTAACAACGTAATCGTGTATTGACGTCCCAAATTTACGGTAATATCCACTCCGCTGCGGTCCAGCCCCACTGTTAGTGCCAGACAACCCCGCCAGGCAGCACGGTGCTCGAGCACGGCCGTCGATCGTTCGTTCCTGGATCTGGAGAAATCTCTCGACTTCGCCTCCGGAAGCTTTTCTAATTTTTCTCAAGGTTCAAAATCGCGTGTTTGACCTTCGTCCACATATTCTTAACACTGCGTTATCTCGGAGGCGAGGAGAACCCCCTCAGCGAGGCCTCCAAGCAACCGTCGACCGCCCCGCGTCCTGGGCACAATTGCCCCACCTTCCGACTTCATCGAAGTTCATCCATCCACCAGACACCAGCTATCGAACTGGCACTCTTCGTACCTCGTACCTCAATCAGGTCGACATCACCCTCCGCCAGCTGCTTCGATCCAAACCAGCCCCAACTCTTCAACGCGTCAAAACGCATCACGTGTCAAGAAATTAAACAACAACCATCACCATGGCCGAGTTCGTCCGCGCGCAGATCTTCGGCACGACCTTCGAGATAACGTCCCGCTACACAGACCTGCAGCCCGTGGGCATGGGTGCGTTCGGGTTGGTGTGTTCGGCTCGCGACCAACTCACCAACCAGGCCGTCGCCATCAAGAAGATCATGAAGCCGTTTAGTACGCCGGTCTTAGCCAAACGAACCTATCGCGAGCTGAAGCTGCTGAAGCACCTGCGCCACGAGAACGTCATTTCGCTGAGTGACATCTTCATCTCGCCGCTGGAGGATATCTACTTTGTGACGGAGCTGCTCGGGACTGATTTGCATCGGTTGTTGACCAGCAGGCCGCTGGAGAAGCAGTTTATTCAGTACTTTTTGTATCAGATTATGGTGCGTCCGAGACCCGTTTTGGGGGGGGTTGGGTTTGGAGGTGGATGTCGTGTGGACGTAGGCTAACCTAACGTTTTCAGCGCGGCCTCAAATACGTGCACTCGGCGGGCGTGGTGCACCGCGACCTTAAGCCGAGCAACATCCTGATTAACGAGAACTGCGACCTCAAGATTTGCGACTTTGGCTTGGCCCGTGTCCAGGACCCGCAGATGACGGGCTATGTGTCGACGCGGTACTATCGTGCCCCAGAGATCATGCTCACGTGGCAAAAGTATGATGTTGAGGTTGACATCTGGAGCGCTGGATGCATTTTCGCCGAGATGATGGAGGGCAAGCCGCTCTTCCCCGGCAAGGACCATGTCAACCAGTTTTCTATTATTACTGAGTTATTGGGCACTCCGCCGGATGATGTGATTGAGACGATTGCGAGTGAGAATGTGGGTGTGAAATCTTTGGAGCTTTTGAAGATATCTGCTGACCTGGCAGACCCTCCGCTTTGTGAAGTCACTCCCCAAGCGCGAGCGGCAGCCGCTCAAGAACCGGTTCAAGAATGCCGAACCGGCCGGTATGTTTGTTTGCTTTCTATCCCACCGTTTGAGCCACACTAACATTGGGTACCAAGCTATCGACCTCCTCGAGCGCATGCTCGTCTTCGATCCCAAGAAGCGCATCACGGCAGCCCAAGCACTCGAGCACGAGTACCTTGCGCCATACCATGACCCGACCGACGAGCCGGTGGCCGAGGAGAAGTTCGATTGGAGCTTCAACGACGCTGATTTGCCGGTTGACACATGGAAGATTATGATGTGAGTCCCCTTCTCTTGACAAAGCAAACAGGTCGCTAATGTGAGGGGAAAAAAAAAAGGTACGCCGAAATCCTCGATTTCCATAACGAGGAAGGTGGTCTCTACGGCCAGGAGGAGGCGGAAGCGCAAGAAGAGCAGCTTAATAATATCCAATGACTGGGCACAACTTCCATAAGTCTGGGTCGGACGGTCGAATGGTCGGATGGCGTTCCGGAGTAGGCAGAGGCACAGAGAGGCATGCTTTTGGATTCTTCATCAGACAGGACAGAGATTGCCATTATACATACTGCTGCAGCATACACAGGACACAGCATAGTCATGGGACATGACGGACAGAGCTCGGGTGTTGGCTGGGGGGTAATGTATAAGGCTGACTGGCGTGTTTTGGATGGGAATGGGATTGGTTAGGGAAAAGGTGTTTGCTTTGGGAGGGGTTACCGGGAAGGTTATATATACTTTTCGTTTTGGGGTAGATTGCAATGGGAATGGGTATTACCTGGATCGAGAGAACGACTTGTTTTAATCATCCAAGTCCGACACCTCCTGAAGGTTGGGATTGTCCGGTATGACAAGCTAGGAACTATGACAGTTCGAAAACCGAAAAGTGGCTAAATAAAGCCTATTGATTGAACCAGTCAATGAATGAATCTGCAAGCCAGACGCCTTCTCACATCAACTCCTCTTGAGCAAGCTATCTTCTCCGCCCGTCTCATTGTTACAACGAACCCTAACCCTTACCATAAACTCATTCCTACCTGCGAGCATGCCCTAACCTTGACCTCTTCCAGCACACAATCACGGTGCCAAGCGTCCATGCTCGCTCATCAAGGACGACCCCACGTTGCACACGTCACTGGCTTGATGCGGGCCGCTGCTTCAGACCGCCTGTGCCAGTTTGGCGTTCTCCATTTCGCTTGGGTCACACGGTTGCGGCTCTGCTGTCTGTGTGTTTTTTTTTTCTTTTTTTTTACTTGATTTTATCTCTTAAACCAGAAGTTGGCAGTCAAAATCTCACAATCTTCAGGTACTTCAATGTACAGTGAGTGAACCCCCCCCCCGCCAGCGACAGGGCAATCTTTAGCTGTGGATCACAGCAGAACAGCGGGGAGTTGTGCTGTGGATTGGGCACCCCTCTATCGTGCAAGTCAACTGAGTTTCAAGCAACGATCGAGGGAGTGGACAATTTTATCAGTTAAAGTGAAATGAACCTGGACTTTCCTCCATAACAGGTCCGCTGCAAGGTCTCGACATCAATAGACGACAGACAGGCTCGAAATCCGACAAAACGAGATCTTAATTAGACAGTACGACTGGCCCGTTACAAGAGAGCTAGCTAATTGCTTTGATGGCTACACGATCGTAGCCTCGCCTGCTCGTTTCGCCCCGTTCCGTTACTTTCATCTCTCATCTCATCATCTCATCATCTCACATCTCATCATCTCATCATCATCATCATCATCTCCGCAACTGAAAATAAACCGTCATGTCTGCGCCAACAAGCCCCTTTTCCCCATCCCCCTCTGGCTCGGACTGGACGCCCCTCGTCTGCGTCGTCGACTTCCATCATGCCCGCGGCCCCGAGGTCGAGCGCTGGTTTGGTGTCGAGGAAGGCTTCGATCCTGCGGTGGCATATGATTGGGGCTTGCTGCCGTTCATGGCGCTGAGTGATGGCGCGCATGCGTACGTTTTTCCCCTCCTCTCTCAGTCACTAAGTTAAGTCGTAGGAACGTAAAAATGGCTAATGATGCGTGGCCAGGTTAACCGAAGAATTCTCCTACTTCACACTCCTCCGCCCCTCTTCCTCTTCCAGCCCAGCAACCTCTCTCTTCGGCATAGCCTGCACCCGCCAAATCGATGCTTCGCAACTCATCCACCGCCCGGCGGACGTCACTCGCTCAACCGTCCAAAAAGCGGTCGTCGTGATAGCCGACAGCCCCGCGCAGTTTGGCATGCTCCGCGAGCGGCTGAGCGTGGTGACCAAGGCGTGGTTTGCGCAGCGCGAGTTCGGGGACGTGGAGATTTTGAAAAGGTTTCAGGAGAGTTTGGTCGATGAGGCGGTGAGGGATCGGAAGTTGAGAGAGCAGCGAGGGAATGGGGATGGAGGGGGAGGGGATCAGCAGCATTTGGGGTTGAGTCTGAGGGAGCTGGTGAGACAGTTTAGATGGCAGACGCTTGTGTTGTTGAAGGCGGCTTTGCTGCAGCCTAAGGTAGGTCGGATTCGGGATTCTGATGAATAAGAGAAGGTTTGGGGGGAAGGGTTGAAGGCTGATGAAAGCATCTAGATGCTCTTCTTTGGCACTCGCTGCGAGCGGTTGTGTCTGACGCAGTTTTCCCTCATCTCGTTGATTCCCGGGCTACTTCGTAACTTGCAAGACTCGGCTGGTCCCGAGCTGCACAGCTACGAGCAGAACCTTAAACGCCCCGAAGGCGTCAAGACGAGCGATCGGTCATCGCTGCTGGCGTATATGGGCTTTCCGCTGCAGATCTTTGGCAAGGTATTTGTTCTCAACTCCTGCCCTTGACTCCATACTTACCCCCTCCCTCCTCCTCCAGGGCAGCCTGTTCGGCCCTTACACCCCCCTACAACAACTCGACCTGCTCGCGGATTTTGGCACGAAATCCTATATCGTCGGCAGCACCAATTCGCTGCTCCTCCAACAAAAAGACCGCTACTCTGACATCCTCATCAACCTCGACGAAGGTACCATCAACATTACCTCGCCCTCTTTGCGCACCGCCCTGTCCCTTTCAACCCCCGATCGCCGCTGGATCGACTTCATCACCCAGAATGTGAACGACACCTGGGACGACGCCAACCCAAGCCGGCCCAAGACCATGGGGTATGCCGGCAGCGAGGAGTTCATCCGGCTGCAGTTCGAAGAGTACTTGCTTTCACTGGCATCCTGTGTCAAGTACCGCGCCCATCTGGCGAAGCACGCCAATAACCCGCGCATGCTCCTCCCCGAGATAGAAGGCGACCCCTCCACGGATTTCAACAACGACTTTATCGAAGCCTGGCAGCGCACCGACAATTATCGCATCTGGAACTCGTTTACGGACTCTCACCTCTTCGACATCGTCGAGCCCCGACACCCGTGTGCGGGGGGTCTGACGCTGGAGGATATCCAGCGCCGATTGGCGCAGCAGGTGCAGGATTTGCATTTGGATGAGCGGTTTGCGCAGAGTAGGGAGGTGCTGGGGAGGAGTGTGGCTGCCGGGAAGGAGAAGGCGAGCAGCTTTTTGAATAGGGTTTATGCGGAGATGGAGGCTTTTAGGGAAGGGCAGCGGAAGAAGGCAGAGGAGGCGGCGAAGCAGAAGGAGGGGGAGCAACAGCAGGGGGAGAAGCAAGAGGGGGAGGGTACGCAAGGAGGGGGGCCGGGGTTCGCGGATAGAGCGGGGGCGTTCGTGAGTGGTTGGGCGGCGTGGGGGAAAAGTAAATGGTCTGGTGGTGGTGGTGGTGGTGGTGGTGGTGGTGCTGGCACTGCGTCCTCCTCAACCTCCGAAGCCAACAACGCCCCAAGCAGCAGCAACGGCTCATCAAGTACAGCAGGGGGCTGGACCTCCTGGGGAAGAGGGCACAAATCTCGACCTTCATCTGCCTCCCTTCTCCCCCGCCGAAGTCAAGATACCGTCCGCGAGCGTAGCGAACGCGACAGTGAAGACCGAGAGCTTACCGACAAGGAAAGGAAACACCTCTCCGGAGGAGTGACATCCCCCTCTTCATTCTTTACCTCCTTCATCGGAAGGATTGCGACGCCCACAAGAGAGTCGTTTGAGATATCTCGTCCTGGCACAGGGACCGGATCTGGGTCTGGATCCAGGGAGGTCCTTTTCGATGATCATGCTGCTGCATCGTCATCATCACGACCGGCGTCTCCTACAAAGAAAAACTCTGTTACGGAGAAGGCGAAGGAGAAGGAGAAGGAAAAGCTAACTGTTCCGGATAATGACACCGCAGAGACGGAGAGCTTTAAGAGCGCGCAGGAGGGGGTGTTGACGGATAAGGAAGATGATTCGGAGGGGTATGAACGGGTGCCGAGTCAGGTGTCGGGGTTTTGGGAAGTTGGGGGAAAGTACGCGACGGGGAAGAAGGGTGAGGAGGCGGAGGGGACGTTGGGAGAGGAGGAGAGTAGGGTTTGGGGGAGGTAGTGATTCCTGGTGAGGGCTTTGATTTGGGTTTGAAGAAGTAATGGGCTTATGTAGGGAGAGTCTACCTAGGTAGATAGATATTTATGGTTTGGGTCTTGAAGAAGAAGGGGGAAGGCTGTACCATGAGAAGAAGGGGGTCATTGTTACCGGGTATACAATCGTTGGGGCTAGGGGAAGATCTGAAGGACTTGGGCATGGCAGCGAGTAAGATGGCTGAGAGAGGGTATAGAAGGAGAAAGGCCTCGAATCTTGCGTTTAGATAATGACAATCAGTATATACAAGCGTGATAGTGTCAAGAATGACTTCAAATGTCGCCAAGTACGGATTTCTCTATACCTACCTATGCCTGATTTTCTTCATAGGGGGAGTTGCTTATAAGAGTAAATTACCAAATTAGATAAAGTCTTCCCCCCAGGAAGAGAGCATAGAGACCAATTCTTATTCATTCGTATTTGACTTTTCAAAGACCCATGTGTTTTTTTTTTTTTTTTTTTTTTACGCTTTTATCCATCTTTCATTGGCTTTATAAGCTCTGGATGAAGTGCCCCATTCGCCACTTACCACCCCGCGCCCGATAGATAAGATAAGGCCTGCTGCCCCTCCGATCCATCAACTAACGGGGCGGCTCCAACAGATTATGGGCGATTTCTAATCCATTACAACTTCACCTCTTCGCAACCGCCACCGGCGACGCCCATCGCATACATCATTCACATATACCTACTTAAGCCTAGAATTTGAATTGCAAAGATTTTCACCTCGAAGACTTACCTACCCTTACCTACCCGACCTCCGAAAACCCTTCAGTTAAACAACACAAAGGGGTCACCCCCAACCCTCTCCTTACAATGCCCCCCTCCCTCGAACAAGACCCCTCCTCCTCCCTCGTCGCCCCAACCCCGGAACACTGCCCCGGCCCCGAGTCCCAACAAGCCGGCACTGCGGCCTCTTGCGCCGGCTGTCCCAACCAACAAATCTGTGCCTCCGCCCCGAAAGGCCCGGACCCCGACCTGCCGCTCATCGCGGCGCGTCTCGCGCGCGTGAAACACAAGATCCTGGTTGTGAGTGGCAAGGGCGGCGTGGGGAAGAGCACGCTCACCGCGCAACTCGCGCAGGTACTGGCGGGGGGAAACCCCGACCTCACGGTTGGGGTGATGGACACAGATATTTGCGGGCCGAGCATACCCAAGATGCTGGGGGTAGAAAATGAGACGGTTCATGTTAGCGGGGAGGGATGGGAGCCTGTGTGGGCGGGGGAGAATTTAGCGGTTATGTCGATTCAGTTTATGTTGCCGAATAGGGATGATGCGGTTATTTGGAGGGGGCCGAAGAAGAACGGGATGATTAAGCAGTTCCTGAGGGATGTCGCGTGGGGGGAGCTGGATTTTTTGGTGGTCGATACGCCACCGGGGACGAGTGATGAGCATTTGAGTGTTAATACTTTTCTGAAGGGGTGTGGAGCTGGATTTGAGGGCGCGGTGGTGGTCACCACGCCGCAGGAGGTCGCGTTGCTGGATGTGAGGAAGGAGATTGATTTTTGTAGGAAGGCTGGGATTAGAGTGTTGGGATTGGTTGAGAATATGGCGGGGTTTGTGTGTCCTAAGTGTCGAGTCGAGAGCGAGATTTTTAAGGCGACCACGGGAGGGGGGAAGGCTCTGGCGAAGGAGATGGGGGTGCCGTTTCTTGGGTCGGTGCCGCTGGACCCGAGACTGGGCATGGCATGTGATTATGGGGAGAGTTTTCTTGACTCGTTCCCGGATAGTCCTGCTTGTGCGGCGCTCAAGAATGTTGTTAAGGGGCTGATGGAGCAGATTGGGCTGGATCCGAGCGAGGTTGTGCCAGAGGGTTAAATGAGAAGGGGAAGAGGGGTATGTGGTTGTTATATATAGAGGAGGACTATACCCATAGACTATCTAACCCGTTAGAATTTTAAACCACCTGGTCATGCTAGCGCCCTTGAGCTCCTTAAGCCGCACCAAGCTTCGACGGAATCTCCTCCAGATCCTCGGGCGACTCAATGTCAAAGATCTTGGTCACCTCGCTGGTGTTGCGCATCAGCTCCTTGGCCCCGGCGTACAGCATGCGCTGTTCGCTGTTGCATGTGGTTGGCATGTAGTAGATCATGACGTATGGCACCGACATGCGGCCGGAGGGCTTCAAGGCTCTGTTAGCTTGACCTTTCAGACAGGTGGGGACGTGACACATTGTACAAGGGAGGTGAGGGAGGACTGACCAGCGTCAGCGGATAGCTCAAGAGAATGAACCGCGGCGAGTGGTCCGGCAGGTCCTCGGCCAGCTCGTCGAGGGACTTGTAAACTGTCTTGTCGTCATCCTGGCGGATTTCTTTGGTTTGTTTATCGATGAGGTCTACAGGCACATTAGTTCCAGATCATACATATGGCATAGCAGTCTCATCTCATCTCCCGACTTCACCTTGGTTGCTGACAAGGGACAAGGGGTAAGGTGAGGACAACACTACAGAGAGACATACATACAGATGACAGCTTGCGGCTCATTCACCCGCGATGTGCCCAGACGGAACTTGCGCAAGTGCGTCTTGGTCTCGTCGGAGAAGGTGTACATGCGTGCCTCGGACGCCTAAACGACAAGGGGTAAGGAGTTCAGCTGTCTGGGCTCTCGACATGATAGGGGGCTTTCGTACCATTGTGAATAGATGAGATTGTCTCTCTGTTTCACACGACTAAGATGGACTCAACCCTTGAACAAGTATAGATGAATGTCCCAGATAGGAAGCAACGAGGCTGTAAGTGGTAACCCTCACCTCCGGGGGACGAGAGGCCAGGTTAAGCTAGATCCATGGTGGGGCTGAGCACAGCTGCCCCGCACCGACCCCACGTGTGCTGGCCCGCATTGGACTGGGTCCCGGGCTTGGCAGATCGTGGGGTCGGGTTGGGGTTGAGCCGGGGGATCATCATCAGGGTCCCAGGGGCGTCCGAGACAGATTGATCAGTGGCAGGTCGACTCAAAAAAAAAAAAAATAGTGAGAAGATATCAAGGAAAGGGAAAAACAAAAGTAGTTATCACGTTCATCAACTCAGGTAAATGTCAAGTCTCCAAGTGACATGTCTCAAGTCAAGGGTCGAGACGTCTTCCGGCATCGTCTCCCGGAAGTTGGAGAACTGGAGTTGCTGATACACTACTGAATTGTGTTTTGTTCAGGAACACGGGATCTGATGCAGAAAGAATGACGAAGCATTGACACCAATCGCCACATATTACCTCGCGTTTGGTGCCCTCAACTCATGTCCTGACTGTTCTTAGGAGAAGCAACTGGCTACCCACGAAATGATGGCATTTTCACTTGGTCATCATATCTTACCATCCCGACCAGAGGTGTCCAACTTTTGGATTGTCGATGATCCAATCTGGCTGCCCCCAAAAGTCTCAATGCTTGCGGTAGTGTACGCTAGCCACCGAGTTTGAATCCTGTGGCAGGATATGTACCAAAAAAGCCTACAGTTAGTGAGAGTCCTACGGTTTAGTGAAAGTGCTTCGTCTCTCATACAGAACCAAGAACAAGATGATATTGCTTAGGATCTTCACAAGAGTAAGATGCCACGGCTCTCTCGCCACATACCCTTCAGTTAACGATTGCATCACGGTCGGTACTGGGAAGAATAGTCAAGCTTTCCGAGTGTATCAAGGCCCGAGTCTACTACTGGGCGCAAGAGGCACTTGTAACATTAAAAACTCATCTCAAGAGAGACAACGTCAAGTGTATGACTGACTTGAGTGCATATGGAAGATGTGAATGTCGACTCTTCCTGTGAATCGGATGTAAAGCTTCTCCAGCCTTCCATCCTCTCCAACCCGGAGAATCCAATCTCAGGAATCTTCCCCGGCGGCAACAACTCTTAGTTAGGACAATCGCCTATTCGAGCCAGTCGTCACAACCACAGTAACTTCGACGATGGCTGGTCCCGAAACCCGCAGATCGACGCCCGTCACGGTCCGTGTTGATATAAACAAACACCTGTAGAGGAGCCAGGCCCGGAGGAACAGTCTCTCTTCTGCTTCTCTTCCGAGTCCCTCTCCCATGAAGACACCAAAATGACCTACCATGCGACCGCATCAGCACTCAGTACACTATGGCAACCCGAGCTTGCTGTAGTGAACGAACTTGTTGCCCTGATTAACACCTCAACACAAGCCATCACAGCAACCGGTAGATAGAGTAGCATCAGACTGCCGCTGGGTAGTTGGGTTTGTCACGGCCAAGGACAACGCTGACTTGGAAACATTGCACGTACACAAACCAAGTTTCATCAACTCTCCATCAACCTCCTCTACGTATCGTGAAATATACACGAGGAAGGCGCCGATGAAAGGTAGGCAGCGACGGGGAATAGCGGCTTATTACGGCAAGGAAAGGGGTAAATATTTCGTCGAACTGACGGATGATGGTGATGCTGATGATGATAGTCTGGTGATGCGAGGGCGGACTTGAGGTGTTGTGTTCGTTGCTGATGCTGCTCTCAAAGTTTCGATTGATGGCCTTAAGGTGGGTAAATTCTGTTGCCCATGACTTGCTGGTTGAGATCGGCAGCTTCAAGAGTTGTTTATGAGATCAAAATACTTTTGGTTGATCACCAAGATTTTTACGTTTATCCCTTTCTTCGATGATGAGCCCAGCCCTGGGCGAGGGGCAGCCCCACCCCCTTTTGGTCGATCCTGGGATCATAATCAGGGGGCCATGAGCATCTTTTTGATCGGAGTGCGCTCCGTTTGCAAACGCCACTTTTACGCTTGTGCTGCCCTGCGCGGATCGAGAGTTTCCGCAGAAAAAGCATATTTCCTTGTGAAACCCCAATATATAGCATCTTCGTCCTGTCCTGTTTGGTAGGTATTACAGCGTCGTTTGCCCTACCGACTTGAAGAAGCATTCGCGAAGGCAAAAAAGAAAATGCGGCACTTGCTGTGCTGTTAATCTCCAATCACACCACGACAACGCAGGCAATATTAGGGGTGTGGGGCCCTTACAGCCCAAGCATCCCAGTTTCCGCCCGAGATCCCCTGTCCTTGGCGTTTATTTCAGCGAGTAATGACGAGAAGCAGAAAAATTCCCAGGAAACCAGAGAAGAAATTCCAAGGCTTGGGAATTGGGGATCCGGGGAGAGCGGCAACGAGCGATTGAACGGAACAGAGTGGACGAGGAGCTGAGAGATCTGCAACATGGCTCCGTACACGCGGCAGCGGTGCAGCTGCGGCGCAGAGAGAAACCTTCTAGCGTGGATTGGGCGGATGGATGGAGTGTGCATACTGTGCATCTACCACGTATTTCGTACGGTTTAGCTATTATAGATATGGACTCTAGAAGTGTTGCTAGGAGAGGGCAAACGGCCGTTTGTGGTTGTGCTGAAAACGGCTGCCATCAAGCGAGTTGGTATTGTGGTGACGAGACTATAGTGGGGGAAACGGCATCTTGTCCACATAAATGGCTAGAGATTTGGCTCTGTTGGTGCCCAACTTACAAAACCAGGTCGCTGAGAGAGAGACCAGAGAACTGCCTTGGTCTTCCGTAAGTCTTTGTCAGGACGACGAACATTGTTGCCGTCAGGCTATGGCAAGCGATGGAGAAGCGAGCCGTCCTGCAGCTCCCGCGGCCTGCGTTTGGAGCGCCTGGGGAGTCTTCCGGAAGCTTGAAAACGACTGCTCCATGCTTTGAGATGCCGCAATAGGCCCGCTCTGTGACTTGATACTCCAGTCTGACACCCAGCTGTAGCCTTCGTCCACCAACGGTCGTTATGACTGACTCCATCGACGTGTCCCACGTTGATATCTCACTTCTGGACCGCTGCAGCAGCCTGCAAGGTGAGTCTGCCGTGAAATCTTCACAGCCCTGTTTGGCCCTGAGGACACGAGGACGGCTAACCCGTCAACGGCGTAGCTTAGCTGCCTAGGCGGCACGGAAACATTCGAAATGGTCGAATGTCAGCAACTACTTGGGAAGAACGAAAAGAAAGTTCAGTTGATAAGAGACCAAACCTCTCATCAATCGCCAGCTGAGCAGAACCTGGTGGTGTGTGGAAACGACGCGCTCCACTCGGTGATTTCCAGAGCCAGGGTCCCCGGGAGGAGGAGATGGCGTCAACTCCCAGATCGCAAGACGCTCATTTCCAGGAGCGTTCCAGAAAAGTGACAGGCGAGGAGCAATGCACGCAGGCCGAATGTGATATGTTGCGAACTACGAGGAATTCGATGTCATTGACTGGCGACAAAAACGCCAGACACATTAGCTCTTTGATGCCGCTGAGCCCAGCAATCACAGTGCGAGGATTTCCCTAAAATGGACAGGGGGAGCTTAGCTGCCCTTTGGCCTGCCCTTGGCCGATGGGGCCCATGGGGAGTTGAACGGGGATGCGCCCCATGATTGGACTGGTGGGGGCACAAAACCACTCGGCTCACACCCCTGCATAGCCCATCTTTGGCCGCGAGCCCCACCTGCAGGTGGGTTAATTCACCAATCAGCGATCAGCCCAGCCTGGTCCGCGGTCGCCCCCCAGAAAGGCACACGGACCCTTCCTTTTCTGCAGGGAAGCAGCACAGGTGCATTGGAGGTGCCGCCAGCTTCTCTTTTCTCTCATCAGGAGTAGGAGTTCTCTCTGTTCACGCCTTCAAACTCCTTTCAACCTTCTAGTTTTCCTGGACCAGCGCCTGCGCAGCTCTTCCTCGCGAGCCCGCACCCACGCAAATTCCCACACTCGACCCTCCTTTGCGTTCGAGTTATCACCGCCCGGCTTTTCTTTCTCGCAAAGAAAAAAAAGTATTCTAATTTTTCGTCTCATCACGCGTGGACACGACACACCTAAACACCCACACACAGCATCACCAGCCCCCTCGGGCAGCTTCCATTTCCCCAGACCAAACCAATTCGCACTTAATCGGTCGCCGATACCGCTTCTTTCTGTTTCCTCGTCGTAAAGCGCAGTCTGCACTTACACTCCTCCATCCCAATTCCATTTTGATCTGACTTTACGTCCGGACGCCGACTCGCACTCGCCCTCCGGCATCTCCCTTGTTGCAAGCGCTCTGCGAACAGCTGCCCAGCCCGAACATCAACCGACAGCTCCTCGGCGCGCGCTGCCATTGCTGTGATTGCGGGCGAGCCCCATCTCTAAATTTAGTTCCCCGTTCACTCTCAGCGCCAGAGCTGCTTTATCATTCCCTCGCGAACTACGTTGCTCTAGCGGTAGTTTGGACTGACCGCTTTTATACTTGGCATCTTAATACAACCAACACATCACAACCACAACAATGGCTTCGAAGGTTTGTCGGGTCTGCGCACAACGTTGGATTGTGCGGCTTGCGACTAATGCCGTCTGCAGTTTACGAGAGAATACAAGCTGGTCGTGGTCGGCGGTGGTGGTGTCGGCAAGTCGTGTCTCACCATCCAGCTGATCCAGAGCCATTTCGTCGACGAATACGACCCGACTATTGAGGGTGCGCACTCCGAAACCCCCATTCAGCTCGATATCCCCGTGAGACGGTGCAGCTGACCCCGATTGCGTGCAGACTCGTATCGCAAGCAGTGTATTATCGACGACGAGGTGGCGCTGCTGGACGTGCTCGACACGGCCGGCCAGGAGGAGTACTCTGCGATGCGCGAACAGTACATGCGCACGGGCGAGGGCTTCCTGCTCGTCTACTCCATCACATCGCGCGAGAGCTTCGAGGAGATCCGCACCTTCCAGCAGCAGATCTTACGCGTCAAGGACAAGGACGCTTTTCCCATGGTTGTTGTCGGCAACAAGCTCGACTTGGCTGCCGATCGGAAGGTGTCATATGAGGGTGCGTCCTCACCCCCCTTTATAACGAGCCAGACAAGCTGTGTGGAATGCTAACGCTGCCCAAAACAGAGGGCAAGGCGCTCGCGGACGAGTTCAAGTGCAAGTTCCTCGAGACATCGGCCAAGACCAACACCAACGTCGAGCAGGCCTTCTACGAGGTAGTGCGCGCCATCCGGAGGTACAACCGCGAGATGCAGGGCGGCCCGGCCTCCGGGAGTGGGCTATCACATAACAGCGGCGGCATGGGCAAGATGGACATGGCTGATGACAGCGCCGAGGCTGGGTGCTGCGCCAAATGTGTGCTGATGTGAGCGGAATTGAGGGAAGGATGGTTTTAATGTTTAGGGATTGAAGGATGGGATGTGGGATAGAGGGAAGGAAGCCAATCGGATCAGCCATGAGAGGAAGGGCCCGGCCTGGGCGGTAGTTTTCGTCGGGTAGTAGACCCAGGAAAGGGGGTCACCTGCCACACATGGACGCAACCTGCACCAGCGCCAAACCCTTACCTAGGCACGATCCGATCGGCTGAGGAGGAAGTGGTAGTTGTGGGGATGATAGATGATGATGGATGACAGATAATGCGTTGTTGAAGCAGCAAGTCAAGTCAAGTCAGCGGAGGATGAGGCTTGTTAGGCACACATCTTCAGGCGGGCAGAAATGTTTCGTCTTGTGGTAGCCTACCAGGCCGATAAGCCAGTCTCGTTGCTCTACGCGCACAAACCCAGGTTGTTGGGCTGTTCCTTTTCTTTTCTTTTCTTTTCTTTTTTTTTAAAAAAAAATTGTGTTGGGAGTTTGTTATCGATTGTTTATAAACCGGGTTCTTTGTTCTCTTTCTATAAGATAGGGCTTTTTTTTTCGCTCGAGATTTTTCTTCTTAGCTTTGTAATTTTTTTTCCCTCTACCATCCCTCGTTTTCTTTTTCTCGTCTATTTTTTTGATATCTCTGCTTTGTCTCTCCGACACCACACATCCCCAGACGGGAATTGTTTCCTTTTTGTATTGTGTGTGTGTGTGTGCGTGTGAATGTGTTTTGTTGGTTGTTGGCATTGCGTGTCATTAAAATGGAAGGGGAAGAGGTGATAGGTATGAAACGCGTATGTAGTTGTCTGTATGTACCACTGCCCTTGATGTGTATGGACCTGGTTTTGATATTACAAGGCAGGACAAGATGATGGATAGGTAGGTAGTGGGTAGGTAGTGGGTAGGTAGGAGGTAAAGAGAAGGTGTTGGGAACTATACATTGGTCTACATTGAGGTCAAGTGTCCGATGCAGCATGTAGTATGTCGTACTTCCGAGTATGAGTCGTACTGCTTGGGCCCGTTTTGGACAGTTGATCAGCTATGGATGTTCAATCGCCTCTCTAGCCTGTGTTTTGATTATCACTTTTGAGCAGCCCACTATAATCATCACGACAGTATCTCCAACCCCTTTTATCATCCTACAAACTTCCAAACCTCCAATTTTGTCTACCCCTTGCTTCTGGGTACAACAACAAGTTCAACAAACATCCTCACGCTCCTCTTCCGTCTTTTTCAAAATGCCTTGTTGTGTAGTGTCGAAGTTCCACAAGGCATTTGACTGTGTCATACCGGCTCCAAAAATTCCCCTGACGATCGCCGCCTGTCTGCCACGCCGAAAAAAAACGTCCGTCTCGGTTCGGGGCGATCACCCGTCTCACTTTGTTGATGGGGCCCGAGACATTGTTGACACCACTGCCAAGGCTTGGTGTGTGTTAGGGATTTATGTCAATTTTGAGCCGTATTCGCCTATTGATTATGGGCTTGGATTGGAGGAATTACGAAGATTGGGATATCTGTACAATAGGTATCTTGAGCTGTATGGCCAGGAGAGGAGATTGAGATTTGGGCCTGTTAGACTGGATGTTGAGGTTGAGCCGTAAGTACCTAGGCACACCGGGAAATGTTACCACCTTACAGACGGTACACCTTACACCTTACGGGTCCCGGGCAGGTAAATTACAATACAAGTTGACAACCAACGTTGTATCTCTTCTTGGACTTGGTGAGACTGATCCATTAGCCACACCATTGTGCTACTCTCGAGAGACATATCTCCGTTTTGAAGCAGGCTCTGTTTGGAACCCTATTATTCTGTCTGGAAACTGACCAGACGAAGAATGCAATCGTCTTACACGAGTTAGAACCTTCGTCTTAGAAGAAAGACCTCTTACAGCCTGGCTGCGTTGACATCGCGCTCAAGGACCAACACTCACTCATCGGCTCTACATCTTCCGTCTATTTATCCCTTCCAATCATATCAACGCATAAACAACCTACAGCCCAACTCAATCTTCATCACATCACCAAGAATGACTCGCAGCACCTATTCATCCTCCCACCAAGCCCCGGACATCCTCCTCTCCCCCCTCTCCACAAAACCCCGCTACCGCGCCTACATCACCGCCCGCCACGCCTTTTGGAAATGTTTCCCCTCCGGCCGATACATGCGCATCCCCACGGGCGGCACCTTAACCCTCGAGTGCGGGCTGCATGCCCTGCGCCTCTCCATCCAACACCAGCTCCCCCACATCCTCCCGGTGCCCACGGTCGAGGAGCTGAGGAGCGTGTACGAGAGTAGTGAGACGATCCGGATTGGGAATGAACTCACGGGGATGGGGAATGAAAACTGGTTTACAGTGGATCAGTTGGGGGTGGTGTTTACTGAGTGGGGGAGGCAGGCTGTAAAAGAGAGAAGAGTGAGGTGTCAGTTGGGATATGTGGCGGAGGGGGAGTGGCCTGTCTTACTTGGGACGCCGGAGGTTGGGGTTGGTGAAGAGGAAGGGGAGAGTAATGAAGAGAAAGGAGAGATCGTGAGAGTGTGGGTGTGGAATGATGGGCTGTCGTTGGCTGGGGGGGTTGGGCACTTCGAGGGGATGAGGAGGCCTATTGAGGAGGAATTGAGGAGGTAGAGGATGTGTTAAGTCTATGAAGGAAAAAGAAAAGAAAAAGAAGAACTAATAATACAACAAACTACAACTTCGCAGTCTTATCCTCCCCCTCAATCAGAATGACCAACTTCCCAAATTGCCTACCCGCCTTCATGTCCTCAAACAAACTCTCAATCCCCTCCAAATTATCTAATCCCTTCACAACCCTACTTACAACCGGCCTGATCTTCTTCTCCCTGACAAACTTCACCATCTCCTCGAACTCCCTCCTACTCCCCATCGTGCACCCCCTCAACTCAATATGCCTCAGCGTCGCTTGCATCAGCCAGTCCATCTTCGGTCCAACCGTCATCCCATAGCACGCAATCACACCGCCTTGCTTGAGTAACTTCACACTCCTGGCTACCACATCTCCCCCGGCCCCATCAACCACCACATCCAGATACGGCCTGTCCTTAGGCAGCATCCCCTTGAGCTTCTTATCCCAGTCCTTCTCCTTATAGTTAACCCCCCCTTTGGCGCCCAGCTCAACCGCCCTCTGTATCTTCCCCTCCTCCCCACTCGTCACCCAAACATTCGCCCCCATGGCAACCGCAAACCCCAATACCTGCAGCGCAACCCCGCCCCCAATCCCCGTCACAAGCACATTCTTCCCCTTTGCCCCCTCAACACCTCCCAACCCGCCTTTTGTAACTAAAGCCCTCCACCCCGTCAACCCTACTAAAGGTAACGCCGCCGCCTCAGCATCACTGAGGTGCCCAGGGCACGGCGCCACCTCTCCCTCATTCACTACCACATACTCAGCCCCCGTCCCAACGTCACTCCCCCTCGACGCCCCATGAATCACAAACTCCCCCTCCGGGGCCGCCTCATCCTTTTCCCATCCTCTACAAGGGAGGATGAGCACGCGGGTGTTGAGCAGGGATTGGGTAGCAGGGGAGCAGCCGGGGCCGAGGGCGACGACGGTTGCCACGCCGTCGGAGAGGAGAGGACTGGAAAAGGAGATGCCGGGGTAGAGGTGCTGGCGGATGAAGAGGTCGCGGTGGTTAAGGGCAGCGGCGTGGACCCGAAGGAGGAGTTGGTTTGGGCCGGGTGTGGGGTGTGAAGGGAGGGTGTTGAGTTGCAGGCTGTGAGTGACCGTCAGCAAGGACTGGGTTTTTATAGAACGGGCAAGAGAAAATGGGAGTGAGCTTACGGGTAGTAGACCTGGCCGGGTTTGCCGTCGATCTTTTTGATGGTGAGGTAACGCGGCATGTTGGTGAGATTTCAGACACAGATGGAGGTGAGGATCAGTGGACGAGAACTGCGATGACAACGATAGTGATGATGATTGTGATGATCAGGACAATTGATCAATATCCTCCTCAATTGACCGCCAAACGGTATCTACACTACTACAGGAGATCCTTAGTCGAAACATCAAACCAGCAACTCAAATCTTTCTGCCCTCTCACAAGATCTCTAAGATAATTAAATGAAAAGACCTTGGCAAGAGAACCGAACCCCCAAGTTCCCCACATCCCCGCACTGGCGGATGCCGACGACCCGATGACGCGCTGCAGAGCCTCGGTCCCGTGTGCCGAGTGTGCTGCCGCCGGCAAACCTTCCCCATTCGTCTGCAGCGCCGAGACTATCCTCCTTCACCTTGTTTTGTCGTGATAGCGCCCAGGATGATACCAACCCGGAGATCCAACAAATTTTGGTGAATCTCTAGTGAACCAAAACAGCGATCAACCCGTTGTTGGCATCGCAAGTCGCAAAATAAATAAAGCAATGGATGAGCTTGGCTGCATGCACTGACGCTGTGCTGTCCAACTCTGGCCTGGGTATCTTGTCTCTTCTCAGGTAGACTGACCTGACTCTTTTTGAGTAAGAGTGCACGGATTTATCGCAATGAACGCCGTCACAATGCATTTAACGATATCACCGACAACCCCTCCCCTCAAAAGAATCCATTTTGACCCCCCTGCTCCCGGGGCGATCACTCCTCTCCATGCTTGACCTTCCTCTTCTTCTTCTTTCCCCCATCCTCCTCCGGCGGCACAAACTCCTTCTCGCGCTCCCGCTTCTTCTCCTCCTTCTTCTGCCTGGCCTTCTCCGCGCGCTCCGCCTCCGCCGCACGCTGCTTGGCCTCCTTGCTGAGGAAGTACTCGCCGCTCTCGATCTGTAAGTCGATCTTGGACTTCTCAGGCGCCGGCGGGAACGGCGTGTATGGCTTCTTGCTCTTGTCGTTGATTTTGAACGGCTTGCGGCGTTTGGACAGCGTGCGCTTCTTGAATTGTGGAAGGTAGCGCGACCAGTCTTCGTGGGCCAGGGCGGGGTCTTTGGCGAGTTCGCGTTTGATCCTGGGGAGTGTCAGCTTGGTTCCAGAGAAGGGGGGAGCGTATAACTCACATCAATTCCTTGATCAAATAAATCGGGTGGATGTTATTCATCGTATCCTCCACGACCCTCCTCACCTCCTTCAACCCCTTATACCCGCCCATCACCGACACCGTATTTCCATGCACCAGAATATACGTCTGTGTCAACAACTCCAGTGCTTTCAACGTCGTCCCGTTCTGCCCCAATAATCTCTGCCTCCTCTTCACAAATCTCTCCTTATTCCGCACCATACTCCTAATCTTAATGATATCACACGCCATGCCGTCCTCAAGAATCTTCAGCGCCTGCGGTGCAGGCACCGACCGCGCCAGCAGTTTGATCAAATCCCTGGCCTTCAAAATCGCCGCAGGGTCGTACGTCTTGCGCGTCGTCTTGACCGTCATGGAGCCTTCGACGATATCCAGAGTTGCCGCGATGCCATGCTTTTCGAGGGCTTTGGTCACCAGCGGCCAGCAGTCCTTCAGGTAGCGCTCGCGGTACTTGGGGAAGAGAGTCATGAAGGAGGATTCTTCCAGGAAGGGGCCCGAGGAGTGCTCCGGAAGGAAGGGCTCGATCTTCCATTTGTCGATGTCGTCGGTGTCCCAGGGTTTGTCCTTTTTGTGTGTGGAGGGCATTTTAGCAGGGTTTCTCGGGGATGGACTCGATTGGTTGTGATCTGTTAATATTTAATGTCGAAAGGTCGCTCAGGCTCTCAGAGGTATTGAGCTGTTTTGAGAGTGGTATGGTAAGTTAGAGTCGTGGTGCGATTGGTGTTGAAGGCTTGTTGATCAAGGCAGACAATCCGCACCTCGAAATTTTTGGAGCGCCGTACCTTGCAGGCCGCTTATCAGTTCAGGTGGGGCTGACAGCTGGCAACACTCGTATCGATATGGCAGTGCCACAGTGAATGATGTGTGAGACACCCCAATCATAGCAACCAATGCTTCTACTCTGTTCGACTCTGTTCGAGTTTAAGAGTCTGTGAGATGGCAATCAGAAGCAAATCATAAATTTACTTATCAGTGTAAACAGGAAGCGGGTCAATGATGGTCCCAAGATGCTGCTCCCCGATGCCCCATGTAAATACAAAGTAATCTTATCGGGGGACATACTGACGTATGACGAAACCTCCATGCGGACAGAGATCTTAGAAAGTCTGTGCATCTCGATCGCCTACTAACCTCGAATTTAGCTTCGCTAGACTTCGATCCTCACCGAGTATTTAGCTATTCAGGACCCTATCGTCCTCAGAACCCGTATATGATGCTATTACACAGAACACTCAAAAATCATACTGATGGTGTTATGCAGATCCGTACGGAGCAGGCTGATGACGAAAAACGGACCCACCACACCAGCCAATCCCGTGCGCTGCCAGTGCAATGATCCCCTGGTCCTTGAAAAAAGTTATCGATAAAAGCCACAGCGTCCCCCCGTCGCACTCCATCACTTCATCCATCCAACGCCAGGACTTGTACAACCATCTTGGAACCCTGCCATCGCATTTCCTCGCCTTCGTCGCTGCTTTGAGTTGCGCCTTGCGAGCGAAAAGCCGTTTTCAGCTTCTTACGAATTTTAATGCACTAGATTCCCACGCGCGGAATTCAGCGTTTTGTCTTCTTTTTCCGTACAGCACCCCTCGCTACTCTCTCAACCAACCGACTTTTGAGTCCCCTGTTCTCCGCGAATTGGTTGCTGTTGCCGTCCGCTGGCCTCCTTGCCACAACTGCGTCTTTGACAGCCACGGATCCGTTACCGACACGTCGTTCGATTCGAAGCGCGACACGTTCGTGAGCAAAGCGACTCGTACGCGTCTCGACTCCCTTTCTGTCCACACTCTTTTCCACTCCTCTCTACCCACCACCGCGACACCCGGTCAGCGCGTAGTCGGTCGCTGCGCGTGCGCATTACTACCATCACAACCACACGATACCGACAAGCTGGACTCCGCGATAGAACCGTCCCCCATGTCCCAAGAACAGCCAGCTGTTCAAGCGCCTGCAGACCCGGCCCTCTTGCCGGCGCCTGCTGCGGAAGCCCCCGCCTCCGTCAAGACCGAGAGTGAGTCGCAGCAAGCCATTGCCGAGCAGGTCGCGTCCGCGCTGCCTGCCGCCCTTGAGGCCGAAGCTGTGCGCCAGAACCCAGTGACAACGGCTCCTGAAGTTCCAGCTCAGGCTGTTCCCGCGCCCCAGGACCCTTCGACTCAAGTGCAACCACAGCAGCCTCAGTCAGTCGCCCCAGCCCAGCCGCAGCCTGTCCCTCAAGCGCAGCCCCAACCTCAGATTCAAGCTCCTCCCGTTCAACCACCGCAAGCGCAGCCTCAGCTGCAGCAGGCCCAGCCTGAGGCTCACGCTGCTCTGAATATTGTCCCTCCTGTTGCACCCGTCGCCAGTCAACCGGCGAATACCCAGCCTAGGTCAGTAACCACGTGAGAAGCGCGCGGGTTTTTGAGTCGCATGGAGGTGCTGCGTTTTCTCTTTGCATGTGCCTCCGTGCGCTTGTTGGAAACTGCTGCCCGTTCTGTTCTGCTGCTCGACTAACACGGTTAGCAGGCCTGTCGCCATTGCGCCAGCCACCATGTATCCCGCGGGCACGTCGCCGGCCAGCACTGCTCCTGCGCCAGGCGGTAATCTGGTATGTAACCTTTCGTTCTACAACTTCGATTTTGTCCATTTTCCACGCCTGGTCCTTTCCTATTTGACATTCACTTCTCCCCTTTGGACTCCTTCGGGTTTGGGCGCTGGGTCGCAATCCATTCCTCCTGTCCACGTCTGCCGCGCTGCTGTGACCTGCCGCGCTGGACCACAAGTGGGGCTGGCCATACCGTCCCGACGCTTATCAGTGGACCTGCTTTTTTCTCTCTTCAGATCAAAAATTTCCCTTATCATGCCGCTTATCAGTTGCCATTTGGCGCCATATCTGATCCCTATCCACGCCGTCTATCTCTTGTCTTATCGTCGCATCTAATCTCTCGCTGCCCATTTACTCTTTATCGTGGCTGTCTGCCCTCCCCCCCGGCCATCACGGTGCTCCCCTAGCATTTACACAGTCACAGCATGGCAACCATGGCTAACCACGACCGCGAATCGACACAGCCCACCTGCCAGAACTGCGGCACCAGCACTACCCCGCTATGGCGACGCGACGAGACCGGCGCGGTCCTGTGCAATGCCTGCGGCCTCTTCCTCAAGCTTCACGGCCGTCCTCGGCCCATCTCCCTTAAGACCGACGTCATCAAGAGCCGGAACCGTGTAAAAACCATGCGCCCCGACCTAAAGCAGAAAAAGGTACGCCTGTGTCCGATTGTCGCAAAGGTCGCCTCTAACTGAGTATCGTTCAAACAGGCCCAACAGCATGCTCAAGCCCAAGCCCAGGCCCAGGCCCAGCGCCATGATCTCCCTCCCGACATGAACGGCGCCGACCTTGCGAACGCCGTTAACGGAGCCGCGGCCGCGGCAGCCGCGGCAGCCAGCCTGAGCGCCCGCCGCGCATCGCAGAAGCCCAACGGCGTTGACGACAACTCGCCCATCTCTCGCACCGGCACCCCGAACCTCTACGCTTCCCACCTCCCCCACATATACCAAAACGTCGACGACCAGTTCCAGGCGCAACAGCTTTCCGGGTTTGTCGGCCCCGACGGCCGCGCCCCCTCCCCTCTCAACGGCGAGCAGATGCCGCAGACGACAGAGCAGCTGCTCGCGACAAACGCCAGCTTGAAGACACGCGTTAGTGAGCTCGAAGTGATTCAGGAGCTGTATCGTGGCCGGATTCAGCAGCTGGAGCAGGAGGAGGCGAATAGGCAGGTCGCGGAGAAGAATAAGAATGAGGCGGAGCAGCAGCTGAGGGCGCAGTTGGAGAGTGTGACAAAGGAACTGGAGGAGAGTCATCGGCGGGAAAATATGCTCAAGCGGAGGTTGGATGAGTTGGAGGTTGAGTTGAAGGAGGCGAAGGAGGCGGCCAAGGCAGCGCAAGAGGAGTTGAGGAAAGTTAAGGAGGAGTTAGAGGCAAAGGAGAGCGAAAGGCCCGCGAAGAAGCAGAGGGTTGAGGAACCGCAAGTGAAGAGTGAAGAGCAGGTCGCGGCGAGCACGTCATAGTCTGCCTGCTTGGGGGAGTGGTCAACCTAAGACCTAGACGGCGGGGTGCGGGCCAGAGTTTTTCGTGGTAGGCTCTTTGGTCTGCTTGCCATGTTGTTGTCCTCACTCTGTACTTTTAGTCGTGCTGATGTTTTTTTATTCCTTTTTTATGATGGCTGCTCGCTCTAGAGTTTCGATAATGGTCGGCTGAGGTCTACAGAAGGCGAGCGGCCATAGATGGATGGATGGATGGATGGATGGATTTGTTTTTGCGTGGTCATATTCCGCGCTTTGGTTTGATGATTGACTCCTTTGGTCAGAGTCGGTCGTTTTGAAGAAGGGGGATATGGGTTCTGCTGGGGGTGAGTGCCTTACCAGTAACGGAATACGACCCTGGCTTTCTACTGTCAGCTGGAAGATGTTAAAGGCTGCACTCACCTGCTGGTCTGAGGACTTTTGTTCCTTAGACCGCTGTCCACCTTACCCAACTCGGTCGGTCAGGTGGTTCCAGCTTGTAGGTGGTGTACCCGATGGTTGTCATGACTGGGTTGGTTGGTCTGTTGGGTCGGTCACTCAACATCAACAAACAAAAAACAACTCTGCTCCGGGAATTCTACTAAACTGGAGGTTTGAAGGGTCGGTTGGTTCATTCATAATCGGTTCGATGGGCGGATCGGAATGAAGAAAGAAGAGGTATGTGACTAGATCAAGGTCAAATTACCTTACTTTACATGTTAGGTGTTCTTTGTTTATGCGGTTCTCCGTGGCTTGTTTTCCTTAAAACCCTCTCTGTATGAACTGCTGGCTTTCGAATGGGGTAGGGGTAAAATAGCTTTGCTTTTTACAGCTATTTACTGGTTGCTAAACTATTTAGTATTACTACCTTACGGTCTGGTGTTTCCGGTGATGGTGGTCTCGTCTTTTCCGAGGTGGTTTACCTGCTATCTTTCGGAAAAGTGAGGATTAGGTCTTATCTGGAGGGAGGGTTAGAATAAAATGAAAAGGAGAGATCAATGAAAACTTGTTCTGAGTGAGATGCAAGTTGCTTGGTGAGTGACCGTTTGTGCGAGACTTGTCTGTCCATCCAACAGTCCATCGCCCTGATCTGTGAGCTATCTGAGCTTGGGATTGTCTAGTTGGAGGTAGGTAACTTGATAGCAACTTGACCTTCCATGAAAGCTCATCTGGTGATTGCTGGGTAAAGGTAACAGAGTGCTTTTAAGTGAGACTGAAGTGTGGTTTTTCTACCCTCAGCTTTCTGTCCCCAGATCATGAGGGGCTACCAAAGAAGGAGTTTAATCTTGGTCAGGTAGAACAAATAAATGCTTATGTTGTCCTAAGTAATAATGGAAACTCGAGCCTTTTTCTTTCTTTTTTTTTTTTCCCAACATTTAAAAGCCAACGTTACCGAGTTCAAAGTTAGGGACAAGCTCAGCAGCCGCAAGACTCCAGGGCTGCTGAGCCACGTACTAAGCCACATCAACGGCTGCACCGCCATAATGATGATCCAGGGCCATCAATCCCCTGTCCATGGTGACGAGCATTGGAATCCATGTCACTTACCAATCGCGTCAGGCACGCGACGGGTACCCTACAGCTCATGAGTTTGAATCTGCAGCTTAATAACAGTAAAATCCCAAGCATACTTGGTTCAGAAATTGATAATGGCTCAAGAGCTTCTAGCCATAAGTAAGGAGCTGTAGAGTGACAGACATCAGCAAAGATCCTCGCCGTCTGCATGCATCTTAACGCGCTGCATCAATCATTGCTGGAGTGAGCGAACTTACCGTCGACGTGGCTCCCCTCATTTGTCTTTCACCCCATTGTTCAATTTCACCTCAATTCCTCAACAATCGATTAATCCATAATACTGTGAATTCCACTGCAAATGATGCCAACAACCCGCAAAAAGTTAAGCCTAATTAAACTCGCCGATGAGTTGGTTGCAGGAGCAACGGAAGCGGGATCAAACAGCGGTGACGGAGGGGGAGTGAGCCAATCATGGTCGGCGTGGGACAACAGCGCAGCAGAAGAACCTACCACTCCAACTCCAGTGCCTGAGCTCAGTGCAGGGTCAATCCGGGATTTTTACTCGGGAGCAAACGCGAATTTGAATGGCGGTAATAGGAATGAGAGAGACCCATTCAGCCTGACAGAGGAGGATTTCGACGCAGACGGCAGCAGCAACGGGTTGCCGTTTCCAGGCGAAGAAGGATACGACGGTTACGACCAAGGCCCGTATTATACCAGGCACCAGCAGCAACGTCAGCAGCAGTTTCCTGGGAGCCCTTCGACTGTTCGCTCGCTGAGAGTCGCTCTTCCAAGGAAAAGAACCGCCTCATCGGCAGCAGCAGCAGCAGCAGGAGGAGGAGGAGGAGGAGGAGGGCTCTTTGTAGCCCAGAACCAAAAGACAAGCGCGACAATGCCCCTACCTGCATCTCATTCTCACCAGTATTCCATGCCACAACCACACCAACACCAACAACGCACAACGACCACATCAAAAACAAGGACCTCCTCCGGTGGTTCAACCACCCGCGCAGGCGGCACCAACCCAAGTTCTAACCGTCACGGCGGGAACCATCTAAAAAACGCATGGGAAGACTCAACCGTCGCCTCCATGTTCAGCGACCCCAAGGCAGTTACTGACAGAGACAGAGATGCTAAGGAGGCGACAGCAGCAGGGAAAGTACCGTTGGATAGGTTACGTGCGCATCAGGTGGGCCGACGGGGCCGTCCGGTATCGGTACTGGGGATGGGAACAAACGAACAAACCAAGACAGCAGCAGCAGCAGCAGCAGCAGCAGCAGCAAGGGGATCAGGGGGATCGGGGAAGATATCATGGAGGGCTGCGTAGTGGAGGACCACCGCCCGGGCATGATGAGAATATGCCCTGGGTAGTGAGCGAGAATGGGTTGTTGAGGGTTGTGCCGGCGCCGGCTAAACCTTTTTCAGGGGAGCTGGAAAGCAACAGCAACAATAACAGCAAGGGAAGAAAGGGGATGGGAATATTTGATGACCAGAGCATTCAGCACCCCTTTAACGACGACGATACGGAAACGAATGGCTACCGCGAGGATGATCACCGCCTGCTGCCTTTTGACACGCCCACGAAGAGAAACGGGACTACACGCCGGAGTAAGCTACCTTTTCGCGATACCAGGAGTGTGGCTTCGTTCTCGGCCGGCGATAACCCGCTGCTGTTCTCGCCTAGAACGCAGAGCGTTAGTGTTAGCTTGTCTCCTGAATGGCCGGACCCTGGACTGGGAGTGGGACAGGGTGTGTCGGATATTGAGGTGATAAGGAAGCAGGAGCGGCTGGCGAGGGAGAGGGAGAGAGAACGACGGCAGCATCAGCAACAAGTGGAGGTCAAGAGACCGCCGATGGAGCACGAGCCAGTGGATTTGTCCCCTCTCGAGTTTAGCGAACCTGATTTTGAGGATACCAAGGCTGCTGTACTGGCGTCGAGCAGTGGCGTTGATGCTGGTGCTAGGGTAGTGAAGCAGGAGGGGGGGTTGGAGAGGACGCCAAGGGCGAGGCAGAAGCAGAGGGAGCAGCGGTTTGAGCAACAGATGGGGAATCCCTTTAGCGACGCCCCCCTGCCTCCGCCGCCAGCTCCATTGGGTAGGAAGGGGAATAGTCGCGGTGTACAGGTGCAGGGACAGGTGCCTGCGCCGGCGCCATTGACCAAGGAGCATCTTCTTCAGCTCCCTTCAGCGTCTTCGTTGCCGCCCCCAGGACCCCCATCACTGACCTCCCGCAAACGAAGGCTGGACGAAAGTCTCCTAGACTACAACGACGCCGAACTCCACGCCATGTCCTACTCCGACCTTCTCAACCAGCCCTTCGATCACGACCCTCAAGCCGCCCCCATCATCTCCCAACCCCCACAGTTCCTCCCAGCCCCCGCCCCCACAGCCCCCCTCCCCCCTGGCAAGGACAGCCCTTTAACAACAAGACTAGAACACTACCTCACCCTCTCCTCCACCTCCCCGGAACTCCAACAAACCTTCATCACATCCCTAACTATCGACGAGTGGGACGAGGCAGGGGATTGGTTTTTAACTCGGTTTAGTGACATCATCATGCGGATCAAGCAGGCGAGGAGAAAGAAGAGGGAGGTGGTGGCAAGGTTTGAGGCGGAGATCGCTGCGAGGGAGGAGGCAGTTAGGGGGAAGATTGAGGGAATTGGTCGGACGCTGAGGGAGATGCGGGAGGAGGGGATGAAGGTTATGAGGGGGAGGGAGGTGGATGTTGAGGAGGAAGGGTGACGGGACCCCCCATATGTTGGGGTATGTGCGGGGTAGAGTTGGGGTTATGGAGCTGGGAGTGTGGGCTTTCTTGGAGGAAAAGAGTATCTTTATACTATCCATTTGCATGACTACAGGCTAATCGATACGAGATGGGCATGACTGATGTTGACGATGGCTAATGGGTTTTGCTGAGAAAAGGGTATGTACCGGGGCTGAAATGGTGCTAAATCTTCATAATAGAGCGCCCCTATCTTATGGGACCGACTTCTAACGTCCGGCTTAAGCAAGCAAGCAAGTGTTCCTCTAGTCTGTCCGTGGATCATATCACGGACCTACTCTTACCTTGTAATACTCAACGCTCTTCTTTATCCCCTATCCCAGGTCGTGACGCCCGTTTCATCTGTAACCCCCTAAATCCCCCCCCCCCCCACAAAGCTAAATAACCTCCCTCCCCAAAACCCTCCTCCCGCGATCCAACACAATCCTCAACTGCCTTCCCCTTTTGTTTGTCCCCTCAAACACCCCCCTCCGAACCCCCTCCAAATATAATTCATAAGCAGGCATATACCCATCCACGAACTTTTCGACCTGCTCATCCGTCATGGCGTTTTCTGGTCCTTTCTCCAGACGCAGCTGAGATTCTTGCTCTTTTCGCCAGGTATAGACCCATTCTAGCGCGGGGGAAGTGGGGATGTCTAGGTGGATGAATATATCGAACTTGTCATTCAAGACGGCTTGATAGGAGCTGAGGGCGTCGTTAACCTGGCGGAGGTGTTCCAGTTCGTGCCGAGCAAGAAGGCCCTTTGTCCTACCTGAATCCTGTGATTCAGTAGTAGTAGCAGGGGAAGAGAGAGACTCTTGTGCTTCTCTCCAGCGCCGTTCAAGCTCTGCTTCGGTAAGCGGTTTGAACCCAACACACCATCCCTCTAGGATAAGAACTGTCAAGGGACGAGGGACGATAGGCCATGTTGAGCGTGGAGCGCGGTCGCCTTTCCCGGCATGGGCGGATTTATTGTATTGTGGGAGGTATAGTGGCTCTTGTTCTGGCTCCATTTCTGGCTCTGAATTGAGACTTTGGGATCGCGTTTGGGAGAGCAGCGAACTAAGAAATGAGGACAAAAGCGGGAGGTCATGTGTCCCTGTTTATGAATCAAGGTATCAGAAATCACATTCGAACCATCAAACAACCTCGGGATGAGCCCCTGATTCTTCAGCGTTGACCCCATCTAGCAGCCTCGATCCTCAAAACAACACCCAACAACAACAACAACAACAACAACAACAACAACAACAACAACAACAACAACAACAACAACAACAACAACAACAACTACAACTACAACGTAGAAGGGAAATGAAATGCCAAACGTACCGGGCAACCCCCTCTGCTCCCAAAGCTTATTACCCCCCTCGCTCAACCTTGCCTGGTCCTCGCGCGTCAGGTAAAAGTCATCTATGCTTGCGACGAGTGTGGGGTAACCCTCTTGATTGTTGAGTACCGAGGAGAGAACGCGAACGAGGGTCGTTTTGCCTATGCCTTGGACGCCGTTTAGGCCGATTATAAAGGGTCGATTAGAATTTTGGAAGTTTAGGTGGGTTCGAAGGTGGGAGAGGATGAAGGGTAAGCAAATTGATAGGGGGGTTTCTTGAGGGTTGGTCATGACGGTGATTGCGGAACCGGCTGAGGTCAGGCTGACGAAGACAAATGACAGTTGCTTCGCAGTTGACGAGTCTAGACTGCATGAATAAGTGTTCCAGAACGTAGACCGTCAACCAGAAGTTTAATTGCTTCAGACTGTTATCGTTCCCCTGAGATGCCCCGGTCTAAGGTTTTCGTTAAGTTGTAAAAACTGCGGAAGCGCAATTTTGGGTTTTCTCTCGCAACTAAACGCAAAAGCGCCTGGAAATGTGAGGAAATTGCCGCAAAAGCTTGCGATTAGAAAACAAAAAGGCTTTCTCAGACCCAAAACGTGAACAAATCGTCAACATCAACGCTGTTGTCGTCGTGATACCTCATCCTCAGGCAACGCCTTCATGCAAACTCTCGGAGCTCGGAGCTGGGGAAGCCGAAGGTGTGTCGTCATCCATCGAACTGGCTCGGCTTGGCATGGCGTCGGCCAGGGTCGGCTTGATGCAAGCCTTGGAGCTGCTGAGGTGTGGGGACTGGGGAAGTGTGGGGTTTGGACTCTTGCACGTTGCTTTCGAGTCTGAGGACGAGAAGGTTGACGATGGGAGTCAAGAAGGTCAATTGAAAGAAGCTCTGATAGAATAGCGGGTCTAGATCTGGAGTAGATTCGGAATCGACATCAACACATACAGTGTCGTTTCAACTTCTTACATTATTTTTTTCCGGAGGGACAACCTCTTCCAGCAAGCAACCCACTCCCATGTGACAGCCGAGGGCCCGTATAAGTCTCGGCGCCATTGCGCCGACACAATCGGCTGTGCCTGGCGCTCGCAGATGCAGCTGTCATTGCACTGAGTGCCATCGGTCCAGCGTCCGTTTATTAGACTCTCATCTAGAAGCTTACCATTTGGATAACCGACTGCCGAGTACACACACGGCTAAGACGCAGGCGGGCGGCTCGACAGCTGGCGCGGCGCTGGCAGCAGCCAGATCTGAGGAAAAGATCACCCGCTCGGGCCGTCGAGGGCTGCCCAGCTTTCGATCTCGCTGCTGGGGCCAGCAGTCTCACGTCGTAGGCAGTCTGTAGCAGGCATGTGAACAACGGCGCCAACCCTGCAACCCTGCAGATTCCCCCGCTCTCGGCAGTGGGGAACGGTGGACCCAGAGGGGAGCCAATGGGAGGGCGACATGACCCAGCGGCCGCGACAGCCGTAATGCCTCGGCTTAGCAGGTGCTGGGGAGCCGACCGGCAGCGCTGGGAGCAGGAGCCAGGCCAGGCTGGAGTCGGCTGGAGCCAGGTTGCGCCGTACGTGTTTTGGTATTTGAGGTCAGGTTTGTCGCTGCTGCGGAGGGAGAGCGTCTGTTCCTCTTCCTCGATCCTTCCTTTCTCACTGTCCTCGACCTCGTCTTATCCCTATCCCTATCCTCTTTCCGTTGTTGATACCCGTGGATCCGTGGTTGATCCTTAATTCCCCGCCTAAGGAGTAGTTCCTCTTTTTCCATCTCATCAACCACCAACAACACACCCCAAGTTTCAACTTCTTAATTCAACCACACACACACACACACACATACATACATACACATACATCATGTCGGAGCTCAGGTTTGACGGCCAGGTCGTTGTCGTCACCGGCGCGGGCGGCGGTCTCGGCAAGGCGTACGCCAAGTTCTTTGCGTCGCGCGGCGCCAGCGTGGTTGTGAACGACCTCGGCGGCTCCTTCAAGGGCGAGGGCAAGGACACGCGCGCGGCCGATGTCGTGGTCAACGAGATCAAGGCGGCCGGCGGTAAGGCCGTGGCCAACTATGACAGCGTCGAGAACGGCGACCGCATCATCGAGACGGCCATCAAGGCTTTCGGCCGCATCGACGTGCTCATCAACAACGCCGGCATCCTGCGCGACATCAGCTTCAAGAACATGAAGGACGAGGACTGGGACCTCATCTTCAAGGTCCACGTTAAGGGCTCCTACAAGTGTGCCCGCGCCGCTTGGCCGTACTTCCGCAAGCAGAAGTACGGCCGCATCATCAATACCTCGTCGGCCGCTGGTCTGTTTGGCAACTTCGGCCAGACCAACTACTCGGCTGCCAAGCTCGCCATGGTCGGCTTCACCGAGACCCTCGCCAAGGAGGGTGCCAAGTACAACATCCTGTGCAATGTCATTGCCCCCGTTGCTGCCAGCCGCATGACTGAGACCATCATGCCCCCGGATGTTCTGGCTCTCATGAAGCCCGAGTGGGTTGTGCCCCTCGTCGCTGTCCTGGCTCACCCCAGCAACACCAGCGAGTCCGGCTCCATCTTCGAGGTCGGCGGTGGTCACATCGCCAAGCTGCGCTGGGAGCGCTCGCAGGGTCTGCTGCTCAAGTGCGACGAGACCTTCACCCCCGGTGCCGTCTTGAAGAAGTGGGACCGCATCGTCGACTTCTCCAATCCCCAGTACCCAACCGGCCCCAACGACTTCCTGGGCCTGCTCGAAGAGTCGCAGAAGCTCGGTCCCAACGAGCAAGGAGAGAAGATCGACTTTACCGGTCGCGTCGTGATCGTCACTGGCGGTGGTGCCGGCATTGGCCGCGCCTACTGCCTGGCTTTTGCCCGCCACGGCGCGTCGGTTGTCGTCAACGATCTGGTCAATCCCGATGACGTCGTCAACGAGATCCGCAAGATGGGCGGCAAGGCTGCGCCGGCCAAGTTCTCGGCTGAGGACGGTGATGCTGTCGTCAAGGCTGCCATTGACGCCTTCGGCCGCGTCGATATCATCATCAACAACGCCGGTATCCTGCGCGACAAGGCCTTCACCAACATGGACGACAAGATGTGGGACGACGTTATGGCCGTCCACGCCCGCGGCACCTACAAGGTCACCAAGGCCGCCTGGCCCTACTTCCTCAAGCAGAAGTACGGTCGTATTGTGAACACCACCTCGACCTCGGGTATCTACGGCAACTTTGGCCAGGCCAACTATGCTGCGGCGGTAAGTCTCGTGAAGTAACCTATTTTACTCAGGACCATGCTGACTTCTTTAGAAATGTGCCATCCTCGGCTTCAGCCGCGCCCTGGCCCTCGAGGGCGCCAAGTACAACATCTATGTCAACACTATCGCCCCCAACGCCGGCACTGCCATGACCCGCACCATCCTCCCCGAGGAGCTCGTCCAGGCTTTCAAGCCCGACTACATTGCTCCCCTGGTGCTCGCCCTCTGCAGTGACAAGGTCCCGGTCAAGCCGACCGGCGGCCTGTACGAGGTCGGTAGCGGCTGGATGGGCGCCACCCGCTGGCAGCGCACCGGCGGCCACCAGTTCCCAATCGACGTGCCCCTGACCCCTGAGGAGGTCCTCAAGAACTGGAAGGATATCGTCACGTTTGACGAGCGCGCCGACCACCCCGAGAAGACCCAAGACAGCATTGGCAAGATCATGGCCAACTTTGAGAACCGCAAGGCCGGCAAGGTATGATTCGTGCTTTTGGCCTCTTGTTTTTTTTTCTTGCTCTCTTAGTTTCTTGTGTGTATCATAATAGTGCACTATAACACGGTCTTGGACTCTCTTGGGTTATGCTAGTGTAACAATACACATGATGATGAATGATGATGAATTTGACTCTAACACAACTGTAGAAGAGTGAGTCGAACCAGTACCTGGAGGCCATCGAGAAGGCTCTCAAGGTCGAGGGCAATCCTACCGAATACAAGTTCACCGAGCGCGATGTCGTGCTGTACAACCTTGGTATTGGCGCCAAGCGCACCGATCTGCGCTATGTCTAGTAAGCTCTGGTGTGCTCTTTTGTAAGCTTTTTGAGTAAGTCTAACGGCGACCAGTGAGGGCAACGAGGACTTCCAGCCCGTGCCCACCTTCGGCGTCATCCCGCCCTTCAACGTCGAGATGCCCTACAACCTCGAGGAGCTCGTGCCCAACTACTCCCCGATGATGCTGCTCCACGGCGAGCAGTTCCTCGAGATCAAGAAGTACCCCATCCCCACTTCGGGCACCCTTGTCTCGCGCGCTCGCCTGCTCGAGGTTGTTGACAAGGGCTCCGCCGCCATCGTCCGCTCCGGTGTCACCACCGTCGACGCTGCCACCGGCGAAGAGCTCTTCTACAACGAGATGGTCGTCTTCCTCCGCGGCTCTGGCGGTTTTGGAGGAAAGAAGAAGCCTGCTGACCGCGGCGCCGCCACCGCTGCTAATAAGCCCCCTGCTCGTGCGCCCGATGCAGTGGTTGAGGAGAAGACGACCGAGGAGCAGGCTGCGCTGTATCGGTTGAGTGGCGACTACAACCCTTTGCACATCGACCCAGCGTTTGCGGCGGCCGGTGGGTTCAAGGTGCCCATCCTGCACGGGCTGTGCTTCTTTGGGATTGCAGGGAAGGCCGTGTATGAGAAGTACGGGAAGATTAAGAATATTAAGGTTAGGTTTGCAGGGACTGTTCTGCCGGGGCAGACGTTGGTGACGGAAATGTGGAAGGAGGGCGACAAGAAGGTCGTGTTCCAGACTAAGGTGAAGGAGACGGGGAAGGTTTGTATCGGGGGCGCTGCGGCGGAGTTGTATTAAATTGAAGAGTGAAGGAGGGTGAAAAAGGGGTATTGTTAGCGAGAGAATCACTTGGGTTTAGTAAGTGTATATAGTTAGTTTGTGGGTTGGTTTCTTATGTTAGTTTGAGTCTGGATGGATGGTTATTGTTGACTTGAACTGTGTTAGTCTCAATCAAAGGAGGTGATTAGTTATTGTTAGTGTTGGAATTGTCTTGAGATTTGGTCGGGGTAAAGTGAGAGAGAGTTTGTCTGCCGCCCGTATAGGTGTGTTTGCAACCTCTTATGATGTGTGAGGGGCTGGTATGCCGAGGAAGTAGGTAGGTAGGTAGGTAGGTAGGTAGGTAGGTAGGTAGGTAGGTAGGTAGGTAGGTAGGTAGGTAGGTAGGTAGGTAGGTAGATAGGTAGCTAGTTCCGTTAGGGACCTAACTGGCCTGGGCTGAGTGACTACTTCATAGAGGTGTTGATTGGGTACTTTGGGCTGAGTTTGCGTTGAGTGTGATATGGGTTGATTACCTGGTAAAGGCGGTGTTGGTTTCGCTTGAGTCCAAGTTTGAGTTTAGTGACTTAGCCTGGCTTAGTTTGACTCAAGTTGATTTAGCTGAACTCAAGTTGGCTTTGATTGCCGGCAAAAAGAGGACTGGGCACCGTAGGGTGTTGACCATAGCCCAGGCGCAACCAATAGCCGTCACCGCTGCAAACACAATCTGGTGCATTTTGCTTTGTATAAGAGCGTGTGTGTGTGTATGTGTGTGTGTGTGTGTGAGTGAGTGAGACTACGTCAAAATCCTCTAGCTCCTGAGTAGCTGGGTATATCACCAAATAAACCATGCGATGCCGTTCGAGGGCCGAATGCCATGTCTTGATGCGTAACTCTGTGGGTAGATGAGAGAACTGTGGCCAGTATGCAACCGGTACGCCGTTGATGCTCTCATATCTGTGAGATACCGGTTGTGGAAAAGCTTGATGGGGACTATCCGCGTCTTCAGGTTGGTTCCACCCGGGAATGGTAACATGTTGCTCCACGCCGTTCATGCTGTTCAAGATGAAGGGGCGCGGTGTCATTGTTTGAAAGAGGGAGAGGATTTGTGGGGAGAGGTCGAGCCTTGGTATCCTCACACATATGCTGGTTAAGTGCTTGAGCGCATACTATCTAGACATGTCGCATCAGAGGGGCAATCAAGCAATAGTTTATGCGACCTACTTTCAGGGACAGCAACTTGGATGACCACAGACGAAGCCTAAAGTGGTAATTATTGACAAGACAATTGTGAAGACAAGAATATCAGTTCACTTCCCTAACCAGGTCCGCTAATTCCGTAATGTGCAAAACACAACATTTATACTAAAGCTAGTCCTGTGGCACATACCCAAATTGAGTGTTGCTGCACTTTCTTATAATATGCGCCCACCACTCGTCGGCCGCACACAATCCAGGGCTCTCTGTTCTTGAAACTCTGCTCTCTTGAACCATCGTACTTGCTTCTGCACTTTCCCATACGCTATTCCATGCTTCCTCCTCATATCTCCACTCCATGAAACCACAGCTATAGGAACCAGACTCATCACACAAATACATTACGCAGTTCACGAACGTTCAAACCATCTGGACCAGTCCTGGACAGTCACATGACACAAGCTCAGCCCCCATTTGCAAGAGACAAGGGTGTGCTTTTCTAGTTAAATCCGCCGCCATTGCTTCGAGCAGCACCTGCCAGATCAGCTTGAAAGAGAATTTATTCTGCGCACAAAAGCGCAATGCTGCTCCAAATCTCTAAATACAGACAGATTGCAGATGGAGTTGGCAAGGTCTTCAATGCGGATGTCAGTCCTTTTAGGGAGAGTCGACAAACTCTTGAGTGATGCCCAGGCCTTTTGGGGGAACGAGGTCCAGTGGTATGCGTCCAGCATGATCTGCTAAGCTCAGATCACTTCGACCATGAGGTAACAGAGTTTAACAGCCGCGATATGACCAGTCCATGCAGCATAATTCAGCAGCATTTGGCCATAGTTGTTTTGTCAATCTGGATCAACTCGGCCATCAGATAACAGAGTTTTAACAACCAACAAATGACTGCTCGTTGCAGCGTAACTCAGCGGCTTTTGACCGAACTTGTCTTGTCATTCTCGATCAACTCGGCCATGATGAAACAGAATTTTGAAAATTTCCACATGACCGGTCGATGTAGCGTATCTCTGCGGTGTTGCGCCATTGTTGTCTTGTCGGTTTGGATCAACTCGGTCATCAGATAACAGAGTTTTAACAATCTCGGTACGGCCTTGCAATGCAGCCCAGCCCAGCGGGGTTCGACCATAGTCGTCTGGTCGGTCTGGATCAACTCGGCTATCGGATAACAGAGTTTTAACAACCTCCAGATGGCCGTATATTGCAGCGTAACTCAGCGGCGTTAGACCAGTCTTGTCTTGTTGGTTTGGATCAACTTGACCATCAGATAACTGACTTTTAACAGCCTCAGTAAAGCCAAACTCTGCAGCGTAACTCAGCAGCGTTCGACCAGACTCGTCTCGTCGGTATGGATCAACTCGGCCATCAGATAGCAGTGCTTTAACAACCTTGGTACGGCGGTTCGATGCAGCCCAGCCCAGCGGGGTTTGACCATAGTTGTCTGGTCGGTCTGGATCAACTCGGCTATCGGATAACAGAGTTCTAACAACCTCCAGATGACCGCCCATGGCAGCGTAACTCAGCGGCGTTAGACCAGTCTTGTCTCGTTGGTTTGGATCAACTTGACCATCAGATAACTGACTTTTAACAGCCTCAGTAAAGCCATACTCTGCAGCGTAACTCAACGGCGTTCGACCGTACTCGTCTTGTCTGTATGGATTAACTCGGCCATCAAACAGCAGAGCTTTAACAACCTTGGTACCGCCATCCGATGCAGCCCATGTCAGTGGTGTTCGACCATAGTTGTCTGGTCGGTCTGGATCAACTCGGCTATCGGACAACAGAGTTTTGACAACCTCCAGATGGCCGTCCATTGCAGCGTAACTCAGCGGCGTTCGGCCCGAATTGTCTTGTTTGTTTGGATCAACTCGGCCATCAGATAACAAAGTTACAACAACCTCCGTACAGCCATCATATGCAGCAAGGCATATCGGCGTTTGGCCATTGGTGTCTTGTCGGTTTGGATCTATTCGGCCATCAGATAACAGAGCTTTAATGACCTCCGTATGGCCGTACCATGCAGCAAGACCCAGCGGCGTTTGGTCTTGCTTGTCATGCTGGTTTGGATTAACCCGGCTATCACATAACAGAGTTTTAACAACCTCCGCATGGCCATTCCATGCTGCCCCATTCAACGGCGTTTGGCCACGCTTATTTTGTCGGTCTGGATCAACTCGGCCATCACATAACAGAGTCTTAACAACCTCTGTATGGCCATTACATGCAGCCCAACTCAGCGGCGTTGCGCCACCGCTGTCTTGTCGGTCTGGATCAACTCGGCCATCAGATAACAGAGTTTTAACAACCTCGGTATGGCCATTACATGCAGCCCAACTCAGCGGCGTTGCGCCACCGCTGTCTTGTCGGTCTGGATCAACTCGGCTATCAGATAACAGAGTTTTAACAATCTCAGTATGGCCCTTCATTGCCGCCCAAGCCAACGGTGTTCTGCCAGAGTCGTCTTGTCGGTCTGGATCAACTCGGCTATCAGATAACAAGGTTTTAACAACCTCCAGACGGCCGTTCAATGCAGCAAAACTCAGCGGCGTATGGCCTCCATTGCTTGGTCGGTCTGGATCAACTCGATCATCAGTTAACAGCGTTTTTAACAACCTCGGAGCAGCCCATCCCTGCCGCCCAACTCAACGGCGTTTTGCCATAGTTGTCTTGCCGGTCTGGATCAATATCGGGGGCATGTACAAGGAGTGCCTTGACTAGATCATTGAGCCCATAGGCACCAACTATGTGAAATGCATTCTGTGATGGCTGCAAAGCCTCTGATAATTGCCCTGGATTCTTTCTGATCTCGGAAAAGAGATCGCAAAGTTGTGCCACCATGCTGACCCATTCCGATTTTGTTAACAGCTCAATCAACTGAGGTGTGCAGAAGCAACATGCAGATGCATGGTGTCCCCAGCAGTCAACGGCATAGGTGAAGAGAGGTATCTCAAGTCGTTTACACGCCTTTCCTTTGTTTCTTCGGCCAATACTAAAAATCGAATCGCGTAACATTTGCTCCCTGCGAATGAAATGATCACTGTAAGTAAGTGGGGAGGTCCTTTGGCTCCCGGGTGTGCCTGGCCGACTCTCAAACCTCCTGCGGACCTTCCAGAGAGGCGTTAGGCATGTTGTCACACGCTGATATCGCCGAATTGATATGAGCAGTATGGACATCTTCCGTGAAACACTCTGGTGCACATAGCTAGCATCCTCACATACATTACAAGCAACCAGTGTTTCCTGATCTTATATTTCACTTATAGATCGAGAATCCTCGAGACATCTTGAATGAGGGGCCATAATGTCCACTTAAGGGAACAAGCTACACATCGCTAAAGCTGCCCGTTCTGTAGCCACCTGCGTACTCGTATCCGCGATGCATCCGAGGCATCCTTCACCATTTTTAGTCATTGCTATCGGTACCAACCAGTCCGAGTTGAGGATGCGAATGCTCAGGTTAACCACTCCTGATTGGATTATCCCACCAAGCCTTCCTCTGATTGGTCAAAACCAGGAAACAGCAGAAGAAAGAGGGGAGGGTTGACTTCCTTTTTTTTTTCTCGTTGAGGGCTGCCATATAATCTGCCTCTGTCCAGCTGGCAATATTACTCGTCCCTGAAATGCACAATTGCTGATCGCCAACGCTGACTTCCAGTTTAACACCAACTGATCCACTTCCAAAATTCGCAGTGGATGCCAATGGTGACAGCCCACAGGCCTGAGCGACTACTGAAAGAACAGCTACCAGTGGAACCTCGACGGATGCTGCTTTCGCGTGTTGACCCCCATGGCTAACCACCACTTCAGCCGGCCGATACCTAGTATCCATAGCCATT